ATATCATCTCATTTTTACGAGTCTGGGTCGTTAGAACTTTGGGTCAAGAGGATGAATGAAGAAATGCCAAGCTCTTCTATTGTTTCCCTTTGTTACTTTGCACTTTTTCTTTTGTATTTCTTCATGTTTTTCTTCTTCCTCATTTTCTTTTTCTTCATAATCTTCATCTTGTAATAACAAGTTTTTGATTAGTTGTAAGAAACTTTTTTTTCTATTTTTTTTTCTCAACTAGTATTAATGTGGGTTTTTTTTTTCCTTTCCCAAGTAGTATTAAGAAGATTCATACCATTTTGATTCCTTGAGCAGCAGCTTTTCTCATTGCTATTATCTTTTTAGCTTCTTCAAATGTTCTGTCCAATGTTTGTTGACTGATATCAAACAAGCGTGTGAGTGGAGTATAACCGAATTGTCCCTCATGTTCTCCTAGCTCTGCAGATACTTCTTTTTCTCTGTCCTCCTGTTCATTGAGGTACAAATTAAGGAAACAATGCAAAAACAAATTCAAAATCAATTTGTGTTGTTTCATTACCTCAAAAGCTGGATTGTTTTGTATTTCTTTGAGAAACAGAAGCACATCTTGTTGAATGGTTCTCATAATGTCCATAGAATCCACAACCATTGCCTTTATTTCTCTCAAATCCTCTTTCATGACTACCTGGTTGGCTTCAAAATGTTTTACTTTGTTAAGCATATTACTTAGATCAATTTTCATCTTGTCCAATTTTGTTGATGCTGCTGGTGGCATTTCTCTTTGAACTTCCTCATGATTTATTTATCTCAAAATGACCATAACTTGATAGTGTTCATGCACTTATAATTTTCAGTTTCAATAATGACATAACTCGATAGGTTATGATCATAACTTGATTTTTGAAGTTGTGTCGAGTAAGTAAATGGAAAGAGCCTTACTATACGATAGATTCCAATTATAGGGAAACAAAAAGTAACGAGCTCCTGTTCTTAATTTTGAATAATAACTTGTTTACAATGTTTTTGTTAAGTGCCAATCTCAAACATAAGTTAAAAGTCTGTCAATCAATATTAACGTATTCATTAATTAGTGGTTTTCCAATTAGTTATTAACGGATTTACTTTGTTCTTTTGTTAATTTTTGACGTCTCTTGTCTGTCTTCGATTTCTTGTCTAACGACACCGGCAAGGTTTTTTAGAGTGGCAGACAGAAGAGAGAGAAACGGTGGCGGAAGAGAATCTGAGATTGGTCGAGGGATGAGAGAGAGAGATGCAGTAGGAAGAGAGACATATCGCATTAGAGGGCCGGAGGGAAGTGAGAGTGATCGTGAAAGAGCGGCGGAGGGAAGAAACAGTTCGCCGGAGAGCGCCGGAGGGAAGAAAGAGCGCGGAGGTCAGTGTGAGAGAGAGAGAGAAGAGAGAAAGGAGTTAGGGTTTTTGAGTGGAAAGGACATTTTTAGAATCTTTTGTGTGGATAAATCTGAATATACCCTAATTTAGCCTATTTATTAACTTATGTAAATTATTAGCCTATTAATTTTAATTCAGCTCAAGTCTTGACCTATTTCTCTTTTTCTCCCTAGATTTAATGTAGGCTTTTTAAAAAACAAGAGAAAATTACATACTTTACATAGTATTTTATTTACTAAAAGTATTTTTTAAAATTTTCCACAAAAATACTTTAATGATCAAATCTTCTTTGTTCTTTTTAGTAATTATGACAACTTTTTATAATTTGTGGAGCCTGTCACTCCCAATACTTTAAGGGCATATTTACTTTATATTAAGGAAAAAAAGAAAAGTAAGGAGTGATTCTCTTTTTTTTTTTAATAATGTACTTAGAAAATGGGTAATGGAGATTTAGTGGGCCCACACAATGTAGGGAGGAAACGGAATGTCAATCCTTATATCTCTCTTGGTATTGATTTCTTGTCAAAGGAAATGAATGCCTAATTTACTTATTTACCATTAATGAATTACTATATAGTGAATGATTATTTAATTGTGTAAAAAAACTTTTTAGTGAATACATTGATAATATTGTTATTCCCTTCTTAATTTTAGTAGACACTATAAAGGAAATAAAATTATTTCTCATTATACCTCCTAATAGTTAAGTAAATACTTAAAAAGGAATCAATAATCATTAATCCTATTACTTTATTTTCCTTTCCAATCACATTACCTTTCTCATTACATTCCTTTACGGTTTGGTAAACGCACCCTAAAAATAAATGAAATTATTAGAATTCAAACCCGAAATCACGCACTTAGAGCATCTCTAAAGGAACTCTATATTTTTTAGCAAAATTCCAACTAAAATTGCTAGAATGTTATTTTAGTTAGTAACTTTTTAGTGAGTCACTCCAACTGTGTTTCTATTTTAGCTAAACATAGATTATTTTAATATTGATTGAATTTAAATATAAATAATTTAATTTAATTTAAAAAAGAACCTTTGCATTTATTGGGTATGAAACAATAAAATAATACAATAAATCAAATAGCTAGCCACTTCTTGTTAGCTATATTTAATTAGTGTGAAATGAATTCTCTGAAATAGCTAACTATTTAACTAATTGTTGGAGTTGAGAAAAGTTAAATTCTAGTTAAATCATTAATTATTTTAACTAAAAACATAAAATAGTTAACATGGTTAGAGTTGCTCTTACAAACTCACGCATCCAACTAATCTCAAAGTGGTTGGGACAAGAGAACTACTTCGTGAAGATCTGGGTTTAGAACTCTCCCAATCCAATATCTTACTACAATATTCTCACTTTTCTTGCTAGTTGGAAACTAGTAAAGAAATCATAGAGACAAAAAGTCCTTGACTGGCTCATCCAAAAGTAGTTTTGACTTCCTTCTCATTTCTTTGTCAACGACGTGGATACACTTTTCAGTTATTGGCTTTGTACGTTTCTTGTCATCTTGAAAAATTGAAACTTTCTTCGCCGGATTGGACATCTTTTGGGCACGTCTAAGTTCTCAAGGTCACAACTCCCATACATGACCTTAAAAACAAATCCTTCTTTCCCAGAACCGCAGTCTTCAAACTGTTCAAAATTAGAAACGAGAAACATGTTTTTTTTTTTTAAGCCAAATCCCAGAAGTTTCAAGTACTTCCAAGAACATGGGGAGCACGTGTTTCCTTTTGTTTAAATTTCATAACACAAAACCTTCCAAATTTAGGTACCATTAGTGAATAGGTTCAAACAGTAAGTAATAAGGGGATGCACAATTCCTTGAATGTTAATTAACGGGTTCACGAGATGTTCTTAAAAAGAAAAATAATAATAATAATAATTTTCAATGAATTTGATCTCTTTACACATAAGTTAGATGTATCTCATCTCTATGTGAACTTATCCAGCAGTTTCATTTATTATAAACCTAACACTATCTCTTTATCATACTCCAAGCAACACATCAAGGGGGAGAGTCAAGTCACTTCAAATAAACACAAAAACAAACCATTTGTTTTTTTTTTTTTTTTTTCTATTTTCTCACTTGTAGGGCATGTTTACTTGGATATAATAGGGAAGATAAGAGTTCAAAAAAAATCAAATAAGAAAGAGGGCCCTTGATTTTTCATTTTTAGTATTTATTTACTAATTAGAAAGTAGTGGAAGTGAAAGTTATCACAATTTCTAATATCTATTAACTGCAGAAATAAAAATCCTCACAATTAGTACTAAAATACCCTGGAGCATATGGTTATTGGTTGAAATTTAATAACACTATAGAAGTAATTTTATATATCATTTATTTCAATATGAAGGAAAACAAAACCATGGGTTTTACCTTCCTCATTTTCTACATCATGTGGACCCACCCAGCAATCAAATTGCTTAGCAGTCTTTGTTTTCAATCATGGCAAGTAAAAATGCCTCTAGTTCATTGGTCATGTTTTGTTAAGTAATGTTATAAATTTGATGCTAAAAATTATACATTAAAATGTTTGTACATAGCTCAACTGATGTCTTTTTCTTAATGTTTGTATTGCTTGTCATTGTCATCATCTGCTTAATTTGTGAGAGTAGAGATTTTAAGATTTTGAAAAACCAGCCAAAGTCACAAATTGGTTGACTTTTTATTTTTATTTTTATTTTTTTTTCTTTTTTGGGGGTTCCCTTTGCGTATTTTGAAAAGGGTGGATTCAAAAAGTCTAAAACTCTGAGCATTTAAATAGAAGAGAACGTGGTTAGGGTAATTTATAGTATTGTATAATTAAGAAAAAAAAAAACGCGTCAAGAGATTAAGAACCCAAAAATGGGATTAATTTAAAAAAAATTATGAGATTAATTGACTATCACCATCATCTCCAACTGCACTGCCTTCCAAATATTAAGCATTCATTTCATATCATTAGTTGACACAATAAAACTGTAAAATTCTTCAATCTACTCATGTTCAAAAAAAAAAAAATTTCATTAATCTACTCAAACCCTGCTCTGTCTTTCATACCTAACCATAAAACGACATGCATTTAAAGTATGACTCCACTTATTGTAGAAACCTACAAAACTAACCCAATACCATCCTCTTACGTCCTTGGAATGGCTAAAAATATAGGGACAAAAGCAAAAGGATAGGTGTTTCTTTTTTTTTTTTTGAAAATAAAGGATAGGTGTTTCTAGTTTTCTAGATTTGGTAAGGAAAGAATTCGCAAGAAATTAATGTTACATGTCATGAATTGAACAAAACCAATAGAATTACCTACTCCATTTTCCAAGTACTAAAATTTTTATTTTAAAAAATAATAATAATAAGGTGATGGGAATAGTACACCTTTATAGAGTTTTACCACGTTCCACTTGTTTATCATATGTCAAAGGTGGTAACTAGTAAACGTGTTTTCTACTACTTTGATTGATTAGTAAGAAAAAAAGAAGTTTTTCTTCTCTTCTAGTGCCAAATTGTTAGAAAGAAAAAAGGGAGGAGAATGACGTCAACTAGCAAAAGAACTCAACCCTTGGAACCCCCCCCCTGGGGGGGGTTTTTTTTTTTTTTTTTTTTTTTTTTTCCTTTTTGTATTACAACCTTTGATGAATTTGTAACATTTTATAATTGTTTAAGTTTTTTATTTACACAGATGAACGCCATATTCTTCCCTCCAAAGAAATAACAATAATGGAAATGTCATCATGGTAACGCCGGCGTTCCCCTTGTGGGATATCAAGCAACTCATGGAAATCCATTCCTGCAATAACATCCCAAAGTTTGCATAAATTAGACTAAAAAAAAAAAAAAAGAAAAAAAAAAACTGCCCCATATTATACTATCTTTAATATAAATGTTGATAGCAATGTTATGGCTGGCGAAAAAAAAAGTACAAAATAGTATAATACATAATGTCATCTTAAATGTTTTATATACTTTTCTTTATAATCACACATTTTCTGTTTAATTTTCAAACAATAATACTAATTTAGTGATTAAGTGCAAAGCTCACCATGTAACTAATGAAAAATAAAGTGTCAAAATTTAACGTATGATAATGCTTGGTGCTAAATATTCAGTGGTGCTACTAAATAAGCACCGAATATGACATATTGATAAATTTGATATTAAAAATAACATATTATGTTGGAGAATGGTTTTTTTTTTTTTTCTACTCAAATGCTAGAATTTAATATCGATATTAGAATTTAGTATTACATTAGAGATGTTCTTATAATCTACATGATTTGTGTGTGAATTTAGGGAGGAAGGAAAGGAGGGTTATTTTTTACCTGCTTTTCTTGCCGCTCTAAACAAAACTTGTTCAATCAAATGTTGAGCTGGATCTCCCTCAGGAAATGAAGCAATGAAGAGCTCAACTTCAGAAACTGCTTCTTCATTGGTGAAATACTGGTACAGCCCATCAGAAGAAAGTATCAAGAATCTGTCTCTTGAGCTCAGTTTGTGGTGGTAAAGTGAGGGTGAACATGTAATATATGGCCAACTCCCAACATAATCAATTCTGAACATCTCAAGTAGCGCATCATTCCACTTTGGCTGCCCCAAAAAAAAAAAAAAAAAGGCCTTTAGGCTCTTCAAACACTTACCATATTGTGCATATACATGTTGATTTTTGAAAAATTTTCCATCCTTATGACATTCAAGAAAATACTAGGTTTATGCTAAGTTTGAGATAGTTTTTTAGAGTTAGGATCATGTACCTGTTTAAGAAAGCCAGCCCCAAAAGCCCTTGTGACCTTCAAGTAGCCTTTTACTCTGTCATTCATTACTGCATAAGCATCATCTGGATGTTCATTCTTAATTCTCTCAACTTCCTGAAAATAATCAAAAGGCCTCTTCACTCATTAAAAATCGAAAAAAAAAAGAGAAGGAAAAAAGCGAATAAGAATCAATTTTTTTTGTGTAACAATTTATTTACCTCTTCCACGTATGTGCTATGATCCATGGTGAGCTGAAAAGAAGTTAAATTGGACAATTCAAACTCATTATCATCATGATCACCATTAGAGAGTTCAAGCTCTTGTAATGTCTCCTCATTGATCGGATCCAAGTCCCTGCGTTCCCTTCCTATCCCGAGGTCCGGCGCAGCCTTCCTAGCCAAAACGGCGCGGCTATCCCCGACATTCATCAAGTAAACATCTTCACCTTTCATCAACATCACCAAAACACAAGACCCCATCAAGGCCAACTCAGGATTCTCCTTCACCATCTTATCCGCGGCATCCAAATACGCGTCTTCCGTCTTCTTCAATGCCACTGAGAGAGCTTTTAGGACATCAGAATGGTTGAAATTCTCCACGCCATTCGGGGGCGGACAATTGAAATTCTCTTTCAACTTCCTATCAAGTTCTAGCCTTTCCCTGTTCCATTCACACTTCCACCTCCTCTGACTCTCCTCCCACTTCTTCCCACCAACTCTGCTCCTACCTTTACCCTGCTTCCTCTTGAAATTAGTCTCCAAATTCGCACTTTCGTCGTAATTCATCTGGGGTTGCTCAATTCCCTCCGAATTCCTCTTCAAATCCGCGGATTCGAACTTGTCAATCCATAGTAACCCCTTGAGTTCCTTATGAACAGCAGGGTAGAGATTAGCCAAAAGATAATCGGGTGCATCAGGTCCATTGAAACCATCATAAATCCCCACAAAAACCCAACCATTCTCCTCCGAAATCACTAGTTGAACCCGATCCTCGCCGGCTTTCCCTTGTGCCCATTGAAGATTCTGACATTTCAAAGAATAATCTTCATCATCAGCATCAACATCAACATCATCTTCGTCATCGCCACCATTATAAGAACTACTCAAATTAGTAGTGCTAGTACTACTTCCACCACCACTATTGGTCACATCATTCATCTTAACATTTTTCTCTTCCACAACAACCCCTTTACATATTGGAGCCACAAATGACTTATTCTTCTTACTATTCCCACAAGAGAACATTATTATTTTCTCCAAAATCACTCTTTTAAAAATCTTCATGATCAATCTTTTTTCCTCCTTCTCCTCCTTGTTCTTCTTCTCCTTCATATGATTACTTGGCTCATACCCCATATTGGAAGTAGAAAAGCTCATATCAAGCTTATCCATCGGACACGAATACGACCCGTGATCGATCGGCCCCGAAGCGAACCCCCTCTCGATGGGGCCCGAAAGAAAGCCGCCTCTCTCCATAGGAACCGACCCGGAAACTCCATTGGAGAAGGAGAAGCGTGGGACGGGCTGCAGAGGAATGGAGGCGAAGAGAGTGGAGCTCTCGAAGGAGGCGGAGCCTTGAGGAGACGTGTCGTCGACGGCGATGGAGGTGGAGAGAGGAGTGGACGCGTTGGCGCTCACGGAAGCGCCGGAGATCGACCGGAAGAACGCTGTCGTTTTGTTGGTTTTGGTGTCGTTTGCGTCGGGTTTGATGTAGCAGAAGGAGTGGCCCAGGCCTTCGACGTCGAGTGGGTCCGAGAGGACGACGGCGATGTCGTGCCGGCGGGAGAGGTCGCCGGCGCCGGCGCCTGAGAAACAACGGTTGAGATTACCTGCGCCGTTACCCATTAATGAAATGAATAATTAGTTTTTTTTTGTCGTCGTTTGAGTTTCTAACTGAATTTAGCTTTAAGGTTCATTGTTCATGAGCTAGCCTAATGGCATTGGCATGAGAATAACATGGAGAGAGAGAGAGAGAGAGAGAGGGAGAGAGAGAGAGAGAGAGAGAGAGAGAGAGAGAGAGAGAGGGTTTGACTTTTGGATGTTGTTTGTTGGTTTGTTTAATAAATATTCTTTGAAGAAACAAAATGTTTTTTCTATCAAATTAATAGATTTTTTTTAGAAGTAGTAGTAGTAAAAAAATTACAATACTAGTTTAACATATGCAATTTCTTTTGCTAAGGCAATTTCTTTTCGGCTCTCAATTTTTGAAATCTTGTACTATAACGAGTTAATGGCAAAACTCATATATATAGTGTTTAAAAAAAAGAGATAAATATTTTTAAAGTGTATAAATCTGTCTTTTTATCTCTTACTTTTAATTTATATTTTTTTAGTTAAATATTATAGTAATCAAAAGGATGATAATTAAGAATAAGAAACTAAAATCCAGACTCATACACTTTAAGAAAAAAATTAAACAATTTTCTCAAAAAGAAAGAAAACGTAATTTATCTTTTATATCCCAAGAAAGCATCCTCTTAAATTATTCTAAATAATATACAGATATAATACAATTTATTACAATATAGTAGTTTAAAGGTAAGTTACTAAGAAGATAACTGATAAGTTAAGAGAGATCAAAATTCTATTTTCTCTATTTTTTAGTTAAGATACAATTGGATGGTTCTAAGACTCCCATTATGCATACTCCATAAAGTCAATTTTAAATCTCTTCTAATAAATTAGTTGGATTATAGAATGGTATTTATGCTTTTATGGGTAATGGAGAGAGTTGACTTTGAGTTGGGAGGTGGGTTTTGAGCAAAAAGCGCGTGGGGGGAGTTTTGAACAAACACAACTCAAGATAATAATTGATTATTAATATAATGTGCGGAATCCAAAAGTCAAAGATTGAAAAAGCCTAATGAATGAAATGAATAATTACAAAAGCAAAATCCATGCTGTAGCTGGCATTATGTATAGTATTATATATCATATACTATATAGCTATTTGTCTTTGAAATATAATATATTTATATCCCAAATAAATACCTTATATCACAAATTCATATTGCTTCACGCCTATTTTCACCATTTTGAAAGTACCCGTGAGCTTCTATTAAAGACGTGACTTCTTTCTTTCTTCTCTTTTCATATGTTTTTTCTTTTCTCAAAAGAAGAAAGAAAAAATGAATGAGAAAACAACGATATGGCAGTTTTTTTTTTTTTTTTTTGGACTAGTTTATATTCAGATGAACAATCTTAATATTTCAGAAATTCTTTAGTAATTACTTCAGAGTCCATAATAATATTAACTTATTGAACATTCAATCTATTGTGAAATACACTAACATTTTTAAGCATAAAAAAAAAAATAAGTAAAGTGAATTTACATGTCTCATAGAAATGGAGTACTAAACTGACTTGTTTGCATTATATTTACTCTATAGCATCAAATCGGTTAAGTATGATTGGTACATACATATACATATTCAGAACCAATTAATATAATATAAGTTTTCAAAAAAGAACCAATTACTATGAAAAAAAGGTAGAGTATTTATAATGAACAATTAATGTTAAAAAATTAATGTAAATAAACAATTAAAATGTTATGTTTTTATTAAATGGGTTGTACCACATAAAAAACATAATGAGGTAGTACATTCGGTTCACTGAATAATTTCTCTAATTTTTTTCTTTTTTTAAAAAAAAGAATCCTCTTCATCTTATCTTTTGTAACATGTTTGGCTTGTGAGATTCACTATGCTTTTGTTTATTTCCTTAATGAGTCTATTTGCTGCTGCGCTCTTAAATCGGAAAGGAATCACAACAAAAGTACATTTTGACTCCATGTACCACCTAAAAAGTAAAAGTCTCACTCAGCCTCCTTTCTTTTCAAAACATAAATATTGTTACTATGCTTTGAACACGTCTAATAGGGAATTCGTAATGATTGTAGTGAACATCATATAATATCATAATTAAACTTGTTTTCATGTATGTCTCCAATGTTTTTATTTCTAATAAAGACATATTTTAATAACAATTGATGATATTACGTGTTAAGAATTTGATCTCATTAATTCTTATAATTTTTTTTAATTAATTACTTAATTTATTATAACTGCCTAACATATTATAGAGCTAAAATAATAGTAACCACTTTGAATGATAATTATATCAAAATTTAATATATCTATACATATAATATATTCCAGTCAAAATAGGATGGTTCAAGACTTTTGCATTACTTAAAAGCATATTTTGTACCTATTTAAAACTTCTCTTAATGTAACTGCTTAGGCGTTTTAGGTGTATATACAAGCGTAGGCTCACTTGCTATGACTTATGCCAATGCTTTTAGACGATAAAAGAGTAGAAGTAAATGTCACTGTTTAGAATCACTTCGAGCCGTTTAAAAGGTATACTTCAATCATAATTTAAGTTTATTGACGGAAATTTTGTGAGAGAGAAAATTTTAAAATTTAAACTTTTTTATTGAATAAAAAAAACACTGTAACAGAATCATAACTTGGGTTTGAGTATAGCTTTTAAACAACCCTTTAAAAAAAAGATTAATGGAATAAAAGTAGTTCCTAATTTTTTTATTGAGCAATCAAAATGTTAGAACATGATTGATAAAAACTTATATAAAAATTCCCGATACAAGTTTTAAAATATTTCTAGAATTTTATATTTTCCAATAAAATACATTTTGTGATTTTGATTGTAAGTTCCTCTAAGTTATACAAACACTTCTAAAAACAACTCTTTTGAACGTGGAAAGCAAAAACTATTTTTAGAAAGGTTTTACAAAAGACCGTGAGTATGAAAAGTGTATCCGAGAGAATCAAACTTTCACTTTCAATTGTTAAAGAACTATAAAAATGAACCTTCATATATTCTAGTGTACCTATATTCTAATATGCTAGGTACACGGACTCTAATCCCGATTTTGTTGGGTGAATTGCTATTCTTTTATTAATAAATATTTAAAATATATTTAGATTGTGTGTAGATTGGGGCTTCTAGGAAGTTTAAGTACCTTATATTTATAGTGCGGTACGAAGGAGATATAGAAGAGAATATTCAACATAGGATTAAGGGATGGTGGGTTAAGTGGAAGAATGCTACGGGAGTTTTATGTAATAGCAAGATGCCTATTAAGTTGAAAGGAAAGTTTTATAGGACTGTGATCCGCCCAGCTAAGTTATATGGTAGTGAATGTTGGGCCATTAAGAGACAACATATATCTAATATGAGTGTGGCAGAAATGCGTATGTTAAGATGGATGAGTGGCCATATGAGAATGGATCGCATAAAGAATGAAGTTATTCATAGTAAAGCAGGTATAGCACCAATAGAAGCTAAGGTGCGAGAAGGCCGCTTGAGGTGGTACAAGTATGTCCAGCGTAGACCGCTAGAAGCACCAGTTCGTGCTTGGGAAGACATTCTTATACCTAATACTAGGAGAGGGAGGGATAGACTAAGAATTACGTGGACTAAAGTCGTTAAGAAAGACATTATAGATCTAGGCCTTCAGAAAAGTTTAATTTCGAACAGAGTTGTGTGAAAAAGTGAAATCTATATAGCCGGCCCCAATTAGTTAGAATTAAGACTTATTATTGTTGTTATTAATTAAAAGATAAATATAAGAGATTCTATTTATTAATAAAAAATAATAATTTATTGTTACATGCGTTGGTAAAAAAAAGTTAGGATTAAACTCACATCTAATTCTAAATTGAAAAGCATATTGTGGTGTGGTCCACGTTTAATTACTCATCCCATATGATTATATTCCAATTTTTATTTGCTTGTATTTATGCTTGGGACTAATGAAAAAAGCATACTCGTACTCTAATCTTTTAGGAATCAAGCGTATCACATTTCCCACATATGTCACTGTCCCAAGAACCAACTTTTTTTTTTTTTTTTTCTTTGGGTAAGAACCACTTTTCTTTTTTCTCATTTCTTTGCTTAGAGAATTCATGGCTCTCATTCTTTGCTGTCTCTGGGGACCAAAAGTATGCATAGAAAAGGTTTCAACCAAAAAGGAACCCAAATAATAATCCCCAAAAGCTGGAGACCAGCATTATCTTGACTCAAGGTGCTTTGTTGATTTGCATGCATTGATGTTTCTCCAACCACAAAACGCACAAACCACACCAATGCAACCATTAACAGGATGCCCGCATGAAGACATTCTCCAAGGCCTAGTTGCTTTAGCAACTCAACGAGCGACACGTATCATTCTCGTTTAAAAATAATCGATCTCATGACAATATAGCAATAATAATATTAGGGTTTTGTTTAAAAAAAAAAAAAAATGATAAACTTGAATTCAAGATTTGTTTTAGATTCTTATGAAACAAGGGGAGTTTTTTTCTTTTCATTATCTCGAAAGAATAGAAACGACATTGTGCTTAAGCTGCAACATTTATTTTTTAATTATATGGGTTCAAACAGTACCTTTAATTTTCTGGGTCATGTGGTTAGCTGGCCCCAGGGCTGCAACCTTTAGTATTATCAATTATTTTACGACAAATTTTTAAATCTCACAACTAAATTATCAATATTTCTTTAAGGATAACATTATGTTTAAGGTCTCTATCTAAAGTTTTAGAATGATATAATATGATATAAGTACAATAGTTGGACATCAATTAAAACACCAAAATTTATAGAAGATTTAAGTTCGCCTACTAACCCATAAGCCTATGTCCTCATGGGCCAATGAAATAATTAGCCAGTTTTGACCCTCACTTTAAGTTTATTTACTTAAGTAAATTAATTATTATATCATTGTGACATTCAATAAAGATGTGGCAATTTTTAAAAATACTCCTTGAAATGAAACGTCCTTTTATTTCTACATCTTAACATTAGTCCATATATTTATATCTTTTAAACTAGAACTAGTCAATTAGTAGAATTTTTTAAAAATGATATTTTTAATAAGTCAGGTTCTTAAAGACGTAGAATCTGTAATTTTCTCATAAAGATGAATTGTGTGCAAAAAAGACAACAAATAACTAAAGATTTAAAACGTATATGAGACTCAATGAAGATGAATTATATGCAAACTTTATACCAGAAATTTATTCTTGGACTTGATAAAAATCTAGTGATATAAATGGTAGTTTATTTATTTAATTTTATTTTACACCAATGAATCTAAAGGACCTCCTCTAAACTAAAAGTACTCTTATGGAACACCTATCCCATCCACATTTAGTTAATAGTTCTTTCCTTTGGATAACACAGTTTACACTTTGGCCCTGTTTATTTCGCTGATTCGAGTTTTGCTATAATAAAAAACTCTCACAAACAATCACATCTAACTTTTTTACTACAGTAAAAAGCTCTCACATAAAATCACATTTCAACTCGAATTAAAAACTCGAATCAGCGAACTAAACGGACCCTTTATTAACGTTTGGCGGCAATTTGAATCCAACGACAATATAGTTCAAAACCTGCCCGAAGTTAGTAATTTCTTTTTCTTTTTTTTTTTTTTGGATTTCCTACCACTAAATTTGAGTCATAATCTAATTAACACGATGATTAATAAAAATATTAAGTGCGTTTAGAATTCGTTTGAAAATAATTTTATTTTTTTATAAGAAAATGAAAATGTTTTCAATCTCAGACATAAATCATTTTTAAAAATACGTTTGGTAGTTTTATAAAAGATTGTTTTCAATATAAAAAAATTCATTAATGTCTCTCTCTGTGCTCGAGAGGAGAAAACATAAACAAATAATGAAAAACGACTAAAAATCATTTTTTATTTCTCTCCCATTTTACACCAAATCAAAAAATCGTTTTCATTTCCGTTTTTTGTCTTTAATTGTGTCAAACGTCATTTCTCTCCCATTTTTATTTTTTCTTTCTCAAAAAACATAAAAAACAAAAACAAAACTAACTTCAAACATAGCCGTTGTTTAGGTTTACGTTTATTAATGTCAACATCAAAACTTTAGAAACTTAGGGCTTGTTCTTTTGAGTGAAAAACTCAAAAAAAAAGTAATTCGAGTTATAATTTTATTCGAATTCATGTTCTTTTAAGTTTAAACTCGAGTTCAAACTCGAGTTTAGGACTAAAACTCAAGTTCAAGTTTCTCCTTCAACTCGAGTTCAGAAACTCGAACTCAAATTAATGAACATTATTTTTTCTATTCTTAAAAATGCTATAATTTTTTCGTTTTAATTCTGATTGAGATGATTTTTTTTTCTATGCGTTGACAACGAAAAGACGAATAAAACCCGACCCATATACCCTATTAAAATTTTTCATCAACATTGAGTTTTTATTAAAATACTATCTAAATACAAATTCAAGTTTTGACTCACTCAAACACAAACTCAAAAAGATTTTTATCTCAAACCATAACTCAAATGTACACAACCAAATACAAACTCAAGAACAAGCCCTTAGTGTAAATTAGGCTTGCACTTGCAACCACTTTTACAGTCTAGTTATCTACTCAAATCACTTTTACGTGTAAATAAGGTCTTAATTTTTCACAGAAGTAATATATTAGGATACCAATTCTTATATTTCTCTAATCCAGCAAAGTTAGGTGAATAGAAGCTTTAGAAAATGTTATCGATACCCCACACGAGGCAGAAACAACCATGGTCTAATTATATTTGGAAAAAAAAAAATGTTTTTCTTCTCTCAAATTGCCTATTCCAATAACTGTTTTTCAGTTAGATTTTCCCAGCACCAAAAAAAAAAAAACTGAAAACGGAGCTAGTGGAAGAATTTGCTTCAAACAAAACATGTACGAATTAATCTCTTCTCTGGGTCCTTGGCAAAAAATAATCCTTCGGCCGAAGTGCATTTCAGAAATAACCAGCACTGCATTTCCACAAGTAATGACTGAGATATTAAATTCATCCTTAGCCCAGTGATATGAGGAACAATAATAATATATGTAATACAATTATAACTTGAAAAAGAGAGAAATAGGCCAAGACTTGAGATGAATTAAAATTAATAGGTCAATAATTTACATAAGTTAATAAATATGCTAAATTACAGTTTTCGTTCATAACTTGTCTGGTTATGAACCATAACTTGACAAGTTATTGTCCATAATTCACGGTTTTTATCCATAACTTGTCTGGCTATGAATCATAACTTGACAAGTTTGTCCATAACTTATCTGGTTATGAACCATAACTTGACAAGTTATAACCTATTAATCTCTACAACTAAAAACTGACCTATATACTTTCTTAAGCTTTTCATATTGGCCTATTTTCTACTATTTCTGTCACTTCTTTAATTAACTAAGGAAATTTGAAAACTGATAAGGCCCCAATTCACATCACTTATGCTAGGATGAGGGTAAAACAGGGGTGTTGGAAGAAGGGAATTAAGAAAGTGTTTGGCATGAAAATTCGTGCCATGATTTAAACCATGATTCGTGGCTCGCTACAGTGTTTTCTCTCACACAAAAAACACACGTAAATTGAGAATAATTCTGAATCATTATTCTAATCTGTGAACCAAACGTTCACTAAATCAGGAAATGAAATTAGTATTGTTTTGGCCCGAGGGAAGAGTGCAGTGAGAGAGAGAGTTGGTAATGAAAATCTCAGAGGCGAAATTCTTGCTCTCTCTGACCAAAAACTAAGTCTCATTACTAATTATTCTCTGGTTCTTATAAAAAACCATATTCTTCACCTCCCCAAAGCTCATTATTTCCTCTAGTTAGTACAAAATTTTGACAGGAAAAACCTCCTGTTGTTTCCCAGGTCTTACTTGATAACACTTTTATTATTTGTTATTTATTTTTCATCAATAAGCCATATCTTAAAGAGATCCAAACCACTTATTTCTTTTCACTTTCAATCAACTTTTGCACCCCTATCCACAAATTTACCAATAGGACTCTTAAAGCTTGTTTGGTAGGAAGGGAAAGCGGGGGAGCGAAACGGGTGAGGGGATTAATGGAAGGATTTTGGATCCGTGATTGTTTGGTAGTAGAGAAAAGAGAAGGGAATGGACTGAGTAGGAATTTCAAACCCTTCAAAAAAACATCAATTTTAATCTCTGACGATATTAGGCATTAGAGGAGGGAAGCTATACCAAACACAATAACTGAAAGTCATTTACTCTCTCTCTCTGTTTTCCTCTAGGTTATATATTTCATTCCTTCCTATTTTCTTTTTCTAGTACCAAACAAAACCATAAGGGTGTATCTATATCATGGGTGAAAAACAAAAAAGCGTTTATGTGTTTACTGAATCCAATTATAATTCCTAATAGGTAAGCATTCACTTAAATTCAAGTTTTTAGTTCCCTTCCATTTCTCATCTTTTTCGCATACTGTTTTACCTTTACGATTACAAATCATCATGAATTAGTAAACGAGCAATGAAAGCAAAATTTCTAAGAGTAAGAAAAATTACAAAGTTCAAAGGACAAAACTGATGGATTAAAAGATGCCAACCTCCAACAATTCAACAAACCAAACTCATTCTCATCAGAACAGAAGCATTGACAAGCAAAAATCTTACCTTTGGCAATCATTTCGACTTCTTCCCTTGTTTCTTCTTAATGACTTCGTCGACGTACATTATGCCCTTGCCTTTGTAAGGCTCAGGTGGTTTACAATTGCGAACAGCAGCTGCAAACTGATGAACCCTCTGCTTATCAATGCCAGTGCAACAAACAACATTGTTCTTGAAGCAGAAGACGCGAACAGCCGGGGGAACAGTCAGTTCTACTTCATGACTGTATCCCAATTTCAGATACAACAGCCGTCCTTGGGATTCAGCTCTCGCTTTGTACCCGACCCCGACTATCTTTAGAAACCGGAAAAATTTCGCTTCCATTTAATAGATGTCCCACAAGCCAAATCCTTAAGCTTCTAATAACAACTAAGAAAACACAAGAAATTGAGTCATGTCCTTTCCGTTCCATCAGTAAGGCCAATAATTTCACAATGTTAAAGGGCACAGATCGGATAATAGTATCAATAATGTTCTTTTTCATGAGACCAAAAGAAAAGGAGCATAATATCATTCAATGGAGGAAAAAAGAAAAAAGTAAATAATTTAATCTATAGGTATCAATCTAGTAAGTAATGAGGAATTCCATCAATCAGATATCAAGTTTTATGCAATTACAAAGAGGAAACCTTCGCAAAATGAAAGTTGAATAACATTTTAAAATTAAAACAAATTTTTATAACAGAATTTGCCGTTTTCCGCACCATCAGCCAAAAAAAGAGTTAGTAAAATTATTTAAAAAAGAAAAAACCTCAGCGTAGTTGAGAATTTTATCAATTACATTACAAGCAAAACCCTTTTTATTTTTGCTCAATCACAAAGCAATTACAAAGAGAAACGTTCAAAATGAAAGTTAATAACATTTTTTTTTTTTTTCTTTTTTTGAGAACAAATAAAGTATCAAAAGATACAATCCATGGTGGAAAGAAATCCAACAAAATAATGTCTTTTTCTATCCAAAGAGCAAGTAATAATAAATTATGTGATGTTAGGAAAACAACACATAAGATTTATTTTAACTGCCTGGAAGAAGAATAAAGAGATAAAGATCATAAGATCAAGAGGCTGTTGAAGATACCATTTCAAACCTGCGAAGTATATAAAGATATGAAAAAGTAAAGGGAAAAAAAAAACTAGGTTATTGAAATTTTAAGAAAACAAGAGGGATGAACTTATCTTATATTGAGATATGATTGCAATGACTTTGAAACATGAGTTAAGCAAGATGTTAATAAGTATAGAGAGATTTATATTCAACCAAAGTTGAATGCTAAACTACAGTTAAATTACCAGCGTATGTAGAGGATTGAGTATTCGACCAAGGTTGATTTTGATTTTTTAATTTACTTTATATTTATAATATTTTATTTACTTTACATTTTTATTTTTTTTATTTATGTAGGAGGGAGTAAGGAAGGAAGGCCTTCCTTACCAGCCTCTTTTTAATACATAGCAAAGTAAAACACTTTTAGGGAATCAAAACCACTAAAAATTAGTAATAAAAATAAGACTAGTTGTGATAAAATATAAGAGCAGTTATAGACTTTTCAAATATAAAAGTAACTGATGAAATGCAGTTATCCTAATAATGGGGAAATTTTTGAAACTGTTTGAGAATGAAACGGAGGGAAAATTTTTTATTAAATATTCAAAAGTAACTGTCTATATTAGCACATATGCAATCAGGATAATAGAAATAAGATTTAACATTAAAAAGAGATTAAAATATATCTTTCAAAGAATTATGAAGCTGAGAAAGAGTAACTTATGAGAAAAGCGGTTTTTTTTTTTTTTTTTTGAAGGACTTATGAGGAAAATTAAGTAATGTAGCATTTAGAAAATCATTAACTTTTTCTGTTATTTGATGATAAGAACTAAATATAATGATAAGAAGTTGTCATCATAATAACTAAATATTATGAGTAAAACTTTAAGAAAAAAACTATTGAAACACCCATAAGGGAGACTATGTAAACTCTTACATGAAGAGACTAGTGAAACTCAAGAGGAAAGAAAATTAAACTGACAAAATAAAAGTGTGATGTACGAGAATAATATCAGTTGTAACAAAACAAAGCGAGAAAATCTAATAGTAAGGTATAACTATGACACAAGACACTGTCATAGGTTATTACATACAGATATCAACAACATGTATAGCAGAATGTGAGTCAACTGGAAAAATCAATTAGGTAAAGGAAGAAGCATAAAACCTTGGCATAATGCAACAAGTGCATAAACTAACTGAAGAAAAACCCAGATAAACAAGGATAAACTCAAAGATATTTCAAGAAACAAATGCCATTTATTGGGAATACATATGGATTACAGAAGAAGCTCCAATCAACCAAACAAAGAATTGGAAAATAATCCTAATCTATACAAATCATCAAAAACCATTCACACAGTGCTTAATACAAACACTTGATCTATAACATATTCAGGTCAGTATCGATACTACTATACTATTATAGTATAAACATAAATTAGCCCAGAAAACATAAAAGAAATTGTAAAACTTTACTACTTTCTAAAGTAACGGGAAGATAATCAATACATCATACTAAAACAATCAAATTATGCAAAGTAGTACCATACTCCAATTGAATTACCCAAAGAAAAAAAAAAATTACATAAACAAACTTCTGAATGTCAAAAAAAAAATCCTTAAAATAAAGCAAAATATGAACAAGTGATGATAAAAAATACTTGTAAATCCATGAGATGAGACTCAAACCGAGAGGATCCAATTAGTGATTGATTAAAGGCAATGCTACATTCGAACCGTACAGAACACTTCCAATCAAAGGAGATCGGAGATATCACTCAGCACCAAACAAGAGGTGAACGCAACTCTCAAGATAAAGTAAAGGATTGAAAGGTAAAGTAGCATATATATTTTCCGTAGGCAGGCTAGGCAGAAGAGAAGACAAAATTGATTAGACAGACGGAAAACCCACCACAAAGGTTATAAGAAAACGATCATAAAGGATTCATATATGGAAGAATTAAGGTTACAAAATACACCTAAAAAGAGAGAATTTGTTAGATTTTCCAAACAAACATATCGAAAGTTTCAATAAAAGACCTTTCAAAACTCAGGAACGCAGGGACCGGAATGAGAGCAATCGAAGGTGACGATACTTCCTCGGGGGTTTTTTTGAAACTCAGCAGAACTCTACCCTCAGTTCCTCCGATTTCATTTGTGCGAATTAGGGCTTCAACGGAAAGTATTATTCCGGGATCAAAGACGACAACTTTACCAGATGCTTAGACGACAGAGAGCAGCGAAATCGAAGAAGAAGATTTGCTGCTGCTGTAAATGTAATGGGAACCCTAGTCCCACATCGAAAAACGGGAGTTAAGTCTCAAACAAAATCCCTCAAAGTTTCTTCTTTTTATTACAAATAAAAGTTAATAAGAGTTCAGAATTGATGAAAAAAAAAAATCAACAACATAAATATTTTTTTCCCACTTTTCGCCATTTCATCAGCTAAAAAAACGAAATTACAAAGAAAAAAATCTCAAAATAACCCGAAAATGAAGTTCTTATAGACTAAAACCAAAGGATTTTCAATTTCAAAATTGTCATCAACACAAAGCAAATCAGCATAAACCAAAAAGAAAAAGAAAGAGAGCTTACCTTGTGGCGAGGAAGACTCGGGAAACAATGGAAGGAGAAATGAGCCAAAGAGAAAAGAAAATTGAATTTCAAAATCAAAACAATTCTGCTAAACCCTAGAACTAGAGGAATAGAAGTGCAGAACAGAAAGAAGATTACCGCTCTGTAATAACCAAACTCTGTAAGGGTAAAATAGGAAAGGCCCGTGAATATGAAAAAAAATAAAAATAAAAAAGCTATCTAAGGTAAATCTTACATTTGTCCATGTGTTTTCTATAATTCAAATAGTATCACTCATGTTTACGATGGGCCCGTTTAGTTCATTGATTCGAGTTTTTAATTCTAGTTGAGATGTGATTTTATGTGAAAATTTTTTACTGTAGTAAAAAAGTTAGATGTGATTATTTCTGAGAACTTTTTACTGTAACAAAACTCAAATTTTAAACTCGAATTAATAAAATGAACGGGCCAACATATCCCATAATTGTATCCTAAACTTTTCAAAATAATTAAAATTTAACCATTCAAGTTGTCAAAATATTAAAAATGACATATCAATGTTTAAATATTAACTTAAATATCAATAGCTAAGAAATATTTTGGGAGGAAAAAAGTAAAATTTTTAATAAAATAAATATTTAAAAATATTCAAAACATAGTTGATCTAATTCCACACGGGATCTCAAGCCCTCATTAATGCACAGCCAGTAGATTTGAACTTATCAAATCAGTCTCATCCTGCACTGAATTCTCCATACATGTTAGCTCTTTTTTTTTCCTTATATTATCTAGTTTAAAATTGCATTTTAAAAATTTTACACTAATTTTTAGATAGTTTCACTGATATTTCCTAAAATATTGGGAAAATACACTACAACCAACTAAATTTGATATTTTTGTCCATATTTCTCGATTATTAAGAAAAAATTTCTTAAACTTTGACAAAAATTTTTCTTCAACCCCACAAGATATTTTGGGGCCTTAGAAATTTTGAAATTTCAGAAATATCTGAGAAATTTTTTTCTATGTCTTATCCATATAGATAATTGGCATTCTTCGATCATAGGTGTTAGGAGAGATATTACTTTTTATAATCACAAATTAATAATTTGCCATCTTAACACTGATGGTTGGCCGTCTTCAGTGTTTGTCACTGCTGCGGTCGTTCAAGTGTAATATTATTTTATTTTCTCAACACAAATGATTGGTCGTCTACGACCCCATCGTTAATGAGTAATCTGTTGAATTTATTTTCACAATCTACGAGTTTATTTTTTCAAAAATCCACTATATTAGTTGACTTTGGCACGATCACACCAAATATAATTGGTGACTTTCTTCACTGCTAGGCTCATCATTTCCTTTACAAATTACTAGCTTTAATTTAAGAATTGTTCTTTTACAATGAAATTCAAAAAAAAATTAAAACTCGAGTTACAATTTTATTTAAATGTTGGTTATTCGGCCAGTTCGAGCCATCTCATTGATGTTCATCGCCTGTAACAACTCTCAATAAATGGTCTTATATTCTTATTTTCTTATATATGGGCGGGAGGCTCTGTCTCGAAGAGCAAGTTAAAGTGTCAAGTCAGGGTAGTGCATTAAGAAGGTGCAAAATCAACAGCGGCTAAAGTTGCTACTATGATACAAAATTAACAAACCATTGGCAACCTATAAGCTGCTTTTAGAATAATATTAGGCTCAAAGATATTATATTAAAGATTTGATACAATGTAAGCCTAAGAGATGTAAGAGTTCACACACAAGATTTTGAAACAAGTTCTCAAAAAAGACTTCCGAAAACAAAAAACAAAAACAAAAAAGAAGAGAAATTGGGCAGGTGTTTCTATACATGAAAACTAAAAAATTATGGTTTTTTATACCTAAAAGCTTTGAAATCGACTGTTGGGAGCGTTTTCTAATGGCTAAAATCTAGCCATTATTATCTACCGGTTGATCAATCAATATGAATGGTTAAGCGGTCATCATCTGCTAGCGCTTCTCAGTTCAGCGCCCAGAACCATTTTGGCTATAGTCAAAACTTTAAAAATAATAGAAAATAGGCCAATATGAAAAATTTAAAAAAGTATATAGGTTAATTTTTAGTTATAGAAATTAATATGTCATAATTTGTCAAGTTATGGTTCATAACCTGATAAGTTATGAACAAACTTATCAAGTTATGGTTTATAGCCAGATAAATTATGGATAAAAACCGTGATTTATGGACAATAACTTGTCAAGTTATGGTTCATAACCAGACAAGTTATGGACGAAAACAGTAACTTGACCTATTTATTAACTTATCTAAACTATTGGCCTATTAATTTTAATTCATCTCAAGTCTTGGCCTATTTTCCTTTTTCTTCCAAACTTTAAATATATTAAGGGCCCGTTAGTTCGTTAATTCGAGTTAAAATGTGACTTTATGTGAGAGTTTTTTACTGTAATAAAAAAGTTAAATGTGACTGTTTCTGAGAGTTTTTTACTGTAGCAAAACTTGAATTTTAAACTCGAATTGATGAAATAAACGAGACCTAAGTAAGTTTAAAGCTTTTCAATTTTTGTTCTAAACTTTTTCAAATTACAATCAAATATTTCAAGTTTACAGAAAACTTATAATAGACTTTGAGAATACTTGGGAAAATATAAAAAGTATTTTAGTAAAGTCCAAAGTCTTTTGTTTGTTAAAATTCCACTAATATGATTTTTTTTACCTCCTCCCAATAATTTAAATCTTATCGTACTTGTGCCTCTTGAATTTCCCGTAGTTTAGCACTTTGGTCTTTGAAAATTTATTTTTTCAGTAGTTTAGTTGCTAAATTAGTCTAAGAATTCTTCAAATTTTAAATCCCGCTAACACAATTGGAATTAATTTCCTCTCTTTTTGATAGAATTAGTTTTCTCTTTTGCTAATTAGGGACAATTATTGATTAAAAGATTTAACGACAACATTCCAAACTATGAAAAATCATGGGATAAAAGTTCTAAACACCGTTTTATTACTATTATCCTTTTTTGTTATATATATATATATATATATATATTTTTTTTTTTTTCCTGTTTGCTAAAAGCTTGGAGATTTGTATTACAGTTAAGAAACAGATGGTTGGCGGGCAAAAGTGGGGACAGATTATAAAAGAAATTTTGAAAAAGAAAAAAGAAAAAAGAAAAAAGAAAAAAAGATGAACGAACAGAAAAGGCAAACGTCAAAGCTTCTTTATTAGTTTCTGCCTTTCACGTAACCACGTTCATATCGTACGGCCTCTCTCTCTCTCTCTCTCTCTAAACCAAGCTCGTCAATTATTTCTCTTCGTTACTCTCCATGAAGGTATCAAAACATGTACAATATTTTGTTAAACAACATTGTGTTTTCTTCCTGTTTTATTAATTTTATTTAGGTGATTTTTATGTTTTGTTTGTTGTTATTAATCCGTTTTCTGCTATTAGAAAAATAAAGGCTACTTGTTTAAATTTAGTTTTGTTCAGGTTCAACAAGCTCGGAGCTCAAGGCAGGAATATTAGAGAAGGTGATAAATCGCTTATGAAATAAATAAACAAACAAAAATGGGAAACGAATTAAGAGAAAAGAAATCTGGGATTTGTTCTTCAAGTGATCATGAGAATACAGGAGGATGTAGTTGGGGCTTACTTCATATGATAAGGTATCATCATTGGCGTCATTTCATGAAAAGACTCACTCATCACAAGAGAAGACATCTTCTGGGTAAGTATCTTTTCTTTCTTTTTTTTTTTTTTTTGGTCTCTATTTAAATTATGAAAATTGATTTTTTTGTAAGATATCAAAATAGATTTTCTTTTGTGGTTGGAATTAAAATTTTGGATTTCGTTTTTTCTAATAGTGAAAGTTGATCCATGGAAGATAAAGAAACTAGCCAATGAGGGTACTAATATGAATTGTTGAAAGTAAATAGATGCAAATTACTCGGTGTTATTGATGCGTCACAAAAATTCATTTTCAAAAAAGTTATGATGACCAATCTGATGATGCGAGAAATGGATTTCATTTTTTTTTTCATTAGTTCTGTTATGGCCTCTGTGACTAATCTGATAATGTGAGAGATGGATTTCACTTTCGATTATAGATTTTTTAATGATTTTTTTGTTGTTTTCTTTTTAATGATAATTTTGTTGGACTTGAAATGCAGGAAATCTTACAAAGAAGCCAAGTGATGAGAAAATGCAAAAAGAGGATGGTGCACATATGTATAAATCTTCAGTAAGTTCATCACATAACGCGTTTATAGAATCGAACAAATCGTCTTTCTTATTAACATACAAAGTCAAGCCATTTTCTCAGGTTTTTTTTTTTTCCCCCACTGTGGAGTAGTAAAAAAGAAGAAAAATATTTGCTAGTTTTATTTCTGGTTTAGGACTTTTTGTCTGTAGATTTGAACATCACATGCGCAATTAGGATTTTGTCTGTCTGAATTATGATGCACAGAATGACAGTTTCTGATTTCAAATTTTATCAGGGTGGAGAAAAAACGGCGGAGTCCTTGCCGCGAAAGAGCAGTTCTGTCAGAGCCAGAATAAAATCACTTCTTCCTGAAGAGATATACAAGAGAAAGGATCGACATAACCGGAGTTCATCCTGTCCGGTACAACCACATTTGACACGAATCGAACCTGCAGATCTTGACCCCCTGGCTGATACTTTGGCATTAGATTATCAAAGTCATAATACCGTTTGCAAAAACAACAAAATCTTTATGGCTGCCAATGAGTTGGATTCACTGCCAATAACCGGATACGAAAATTGCGCAGAATGCAGCAAAGTCGTTGTTGGGGACCAGTTAGAGCACGACCATGTTTGTGAGCATCAAAATATGTTAAAGAGACACAATGTAGATTCTTTTCGGAGCCGTCCAAAAGAGTATTTAGATGCACTGGACATTATTAGTACAAACGGGGAGTTGTTGGTAAAACTTTTGCAGGATCCGGGCTCTCCTTTGGCCCACCACTTTCAGAACCAACAAGCGTTGAGTGCCAAAAGGGGATTCTTGGCCAAGGCGGAGACATTCCCTTTACCCGGTTCCCCGGGAAGAAAAGGTTCCGCTGCTAGCAGATTCAAACAGATGCATGAGGCTGAGCCCGGGGCAGAAGAAACGGCAGGAGTTTCTCATAATACTTTTTCTCTATCTTCTGTCGAACAACGAGAGAACCAGGGCGAGACTTATGTTGTAAGTAAGAGTTTCAAGGATCTTAGAAATAAGATAAAGGATGTAATCAAAGAGAGCAGAAAAGATATGCATAGAATTGCTATGGATGCCATTATGCATAAAATTCCTCATGGTAAAAATATGGAAGAGATTGATAATAAATTCAGGAGTTCTATAGTTTATGGAGAAGATGGAACTTATTGCTCGGTTCCTTCCCGCAATAAGAACAAACTTCGCCTGCGCCAGATGAGAAGAGCATCATCCCTTAACAACTCGTTGGATAGGTATTGCCGGTTGTATGAGACGAGTCCCAACCGAGAACCTAAACACCAAACCTCAGAGGGACTGAAAATGAGAGCGAAAGAGACATGCTTGCTCCCAAAGCCCTTGGCCAGGATCCAGTCGTTGCCCGACCTAAAACCTTTTGTCAATCAGAGTGAGGAGTCTTTTGATGCATTTTCTTCAGGAACTCCAAACAAGGCTCCTTTGGACTCCGACGTAGGCACAGAAAGTAGTTTTGATGAACAAAAAAGTCTAGACTTTCCGGTAGGCTCTGAAGATCATGAGCTGAAGACAGATGCTTCCTTGGAGAGTATTGGTCAAGAAAACCCGGTTGATCTCGGTGCAGTAAATGATGACATCACAGATGAGGCGGCCTTGACATCGACCGAAGACGTTGAAGAAACTGTTCACTTGAGTTCTCAAATGGATGATAATGGAAGCTTGATTGATAAAGGTTTGATTCTTAACGATTTCTTTCTTTGCCTTTTGCATGGCATCATCTCAACAAAGTGCACGGTGTAGAACCAAGAAAGAGAAGAGAGAGAATCCAAATAGAAAATAAAAATAAGAACAAGAGAGATCAGAGAGACAAAAAGGAGACAAAATGACAACTCAAGGAGGGAAATATGAAATTTTAATATTCATTAAGCAAGGTCCAAATTGAAAATGCAATCACCAGGCCTATTTATAGACAAACTACTTGTACCAAAAAGAATCGACAAACATATTCTTAAATTCTTAGCTAAATCAAAAGTACATATTAAAGATAATTAATATTCAAATCTCTATCAGTGTGAGAATTCTCATGATCTCTAGATTACTCCTAGGCTATTTTGTGCAATTCAAAAACTTTTGTTAACTGATAGAAGGATGACGCGGTTTCAATTCTGGACGTTAAAATCTTTTGCTTATCACATATTATTTCAGCATTGTTCTCTCAACAGTTCAAGTGCTTTATGTGTGCTTTTTTCTTCTGGCTTTTTTTTAACATTGGTTACATAAATACAGAACCAGAAACAGACCCAGTACTTGATGGATTAGCTACCAGCTTGCCCGTGAAAGTGGAGGAGCTTGAAATGGCAACTCCTGAAGTGTCCAAAACCGAAAACGCAGAACCACTTGACAAACACTTAACAAGTGACATTCCCCATCTCCAAGTGGCTGCAAAAGACAAAGCTGAATTCAGCTACGTGAAAGATGTCCTGGAGCTATCCGGGTTCAGCGGGAACGCATTCCTCGGAACGTGGCATTCCGATGAGCAACCCGTCGATCCCTCGGTGTACGAGGAAGTGGAGGGCTGCTTGGTCCTTGACCCTGACTGTTGCGGAAATGAATTGGGTGGCAAATGTGATCACCTTCTTCTGTTTGATCTAATCAATGAGGTTTTGATAGAGATTTACGCAAGGTCATATAGCTATTGTCCCTTTGCATTGTCTTCACTTTCACACATAAGTCCAATGCCATCAGGACCTCATGTTCTTAGGGAAGTGTGGGCCCTCATAAGCTGGTACTTAAGCTCGACACCAGAAGTTGACCAATCACTTGACCATGTTGTGGGAAATGACTTGTCAAAGAGTGATGGGTGGATGAATCTTCAGTTTGATTCTGAGTGTGTTGGGATTGAGCTTGAAGACTTGATTTTTGAAGATCTCTTGGAGGAACTTATTTGGGCTTAGGCTGCTTTCTCTTAGGCCTTTACTTATATTCTTTGTGTACATAAAATTTTGTCTGCTTAAATTGTTGTGTCAAAATAGAATGTAAGATAATAAGAAGAAGAATAAAAGAAATTGGAGAAAAGATTTAGATACTGTACAGGTAGGCAGAAAATAAAAAAGGCAATGTAATATATCTATTTTATACACTGGTATTTTCTGGTTTCTCTTGAGTTTTTCTGTGCAATATGATATAGGCAAGGATTTTTTTTGTTGTGGTTTTTGTCTTGTTTGCTTCAATATACTTAAATATTAAAGTGGTTATTATTATTTTTTTGGTTATATATAAGATCACAGTGCTTATTCATGTAATCAATTCCTTACACTTTTTTTTTTTTCAATCTCACTTTCATAATTTGAGAAATATACGAGTGACTTCACAAGAATGTGAAAATACTGTGGCACAAAATGCCTTTGAAAACAGAAATACTTTGGCTTATTTAAATGCCTTTTAAAGTTTCGACAACTTGCCTCCAAACTTTTAAAAAAGTTCTTGGCATGGATATTCAGAGAAATACAGGGGCAAGACTCTGTTTCTATCACCGAAGAGTTATTTACAAAAGCTTCTTCACAATTTTGGAATCATCTAGCTCAATATTTCAAGTTATCAACTGTACAAGCACATGAGATTGATGAGTAGAGTTGTTCAAAGTAGCACATAAACAAATGACAGTTTGTTGTGATGATCAAAGAACTAAACATCTGACTGAAATCAAGGGCATCATAATAGTTCAAAATACATTGATGAACAATAGGGTATCAGTTTCAAAATAATAATAATTAAAAAAAAAGAACAATAGGGTATCAGTAGTACTGAGCACCACCCAATAATAAAATGTGGACCTCGCAGTATGAAACTTTCATATAGGATTCATCTTCTATTAGTGGTGGTGCTTAGTATCAGTGCTGCCCAAGGTATTTGTCTTGAGATAATGTTGTCTCAAATGGAACAGTCAAAGAGTCCGTTTAGTTCTCTTATTCGAGTTTTTAATTTGAGTTGAGATATGACTTTATGTGAGACATTTTTACTGTAGCAAAAAAGTTAGACCTTTTTAAGCTATCAACTGCACAAGCACATGAGATTGATGAGTAGGGCTGTTCAAAATAGCACATAAACAAATGACAGTTTGTTGTGATGATCAAAGAACTAAACATCTTACTGAAATCAAGTGCATCATAATAGTTCAAAATACATTGATGAACAATAGGGTATCAGTTTCAAAATAATAATAATAATAAAAAAAAGAACAATAGGGTATCAGTAGTACTGAGCACCGCCCAATAATAAAATGTGAACCTCACAGTATGAAACTTTCATATAGGATTCATCTTCTATTAGTGGTGGTGCTTAGCATCAGTGCTGCCCAAGGTATTTTTCTTGAGATAATGTTGTCTCAAATGGAACAGTGAAAGAGTCCGTTTAGTTCTCTTATTCGAGTTTTTAATTTGAGTTGAGATATGACTTTATGTGAGACTTTTTTACTGTAGCAAAAAAGTTAGACCTTTTTAAGCTGTCAACTGCACAAGCACATGAGATTGATGAGTAGGGCTGTTTAAAATAGCACATAAACAAATGGCAGTTTGCTGTGATGATCAAATAACTAAACATCTGACTGAAATCAAGTGTATCATAAACAATTGTGATGATCAAATACAATTTTGATTATCTTTACTTGTTAGGAAGTTTTAAAAGTTCAAATTTGCCCATATTTTCATACTTAATACGTATAACATGTTAGATTAAGTTTAAGAGAATGTTAAGAAGTAACACTACTTAATATGACTAATTGGATAATTTAGAGGCATATTAGGGGGTGTTACAACATTGATGTAAGAACAATAAGGTATCAGTTTCAATAAAATAATAATAAAAAAAGAACAATAGGGTATCAGTAATGTTGAGCACCACCCAATAATAAAATGTGGATCTCGCAGTATTAAATTTTCATATATGATTCATCTTCTATTAGTAGTGGTGCTTAATATCGCTGCTGCCAAGGTATTTTTCTTGAGATAATGTTGTCTCAAATGGAAGAGTCAAAGTGAAGAAAACTGCTACTGAGGAGAACACAACTGATATGCTCACAAAGGTCTTGCAGGCAATAAGTTCAAATATTGCAGTCAATAAGTTCAAATATTGCAGTCATTTGTTTATTAGTTGGATGTAGGATCACATTGATCCGAATCACGTTAAATTCTGTGTTCATTTTTGCACTTATTTATTGCTTTTGATTGAGTTTTGAAATTTGATTTTGTGTGCAAAAGTTCTAGTTGGTGAGAGGAATTTCTTGATTAGTATTCTGGGTAAAATCACTACATATTAAAGGTAATTAATATGCTTATCTTGATTTGACACCTTGGCTATTGTGTGCAATTCAAAGTCTATTGTTAGATGATAAAAGGATAACGCGGTTTCCCTTCTTGAACCTTTTTTTTTTTTTTTGGCTCATCAAATTATATGATTCCAGCATTATTATTATCACTCATCAATTCAAGTGCTGTAGGGCTAAAATGGTCTTTTTCTTCAACAATTGAAAACGGGTAGTTCTATGCACACACCTCATTTTACTCTTTACACTCACTTTCTAAATACACACCCCACTTAATTTTAAAATGATTAAATTTACTTTTTACACACTCTTATTATTCTAAGATTACCCATAACTATTTTAATAAGATTATTAACTCTTAAACATTTTATTTTTCTTTCCACACCCACCATTTTATTTTAATTTGTTATTTAAAATTTTGTTATTTCTTTTCTCTCTATTTTTTTTTTTTGAAGTTTTGGGCGTGAAGACTTTTTTTCATACATAAAAAAATTTACTATTACATTTCTTTTAGAAAAATAAAAGGCATGAATATAAGCCTAACAATAACATAATTGTTACATCTTTTAAGCGAAAAAACATAATTATTACATCAATTGAGGTATTGATCAAAAAAGACAAAATAGGGGGAGAAAAGGCCAAAATGAAATGAACACAGAGTATAAAAAAACACCAGAGAGAATAAAACATAAAAAAAATAAACAACATTATAGAAACAAAAGACCAAAATGAAACGAACATCCTTTAAAAATAAAATTATTAGTAAAAAGACATCAAATTTGAGATATAATATGCAGGATGTGTTCAAAGAAAAAAAAAATATGTAAATAGTTTTCTTTTATAATAAAATTTAATTAAGTCATTATAATTGTTTTTTTTTTGTTATTTTATTTGATGACTTTTTTGTCATAACAAATTTTATTTTAAAAAGAGGTATGGAGAATAAAAAAGAGTGTGTGACCACCTATCGAAAATTGAGGGTTCGTTTAATTCGTTGATTTGAGTTTTTAATTCGATTTGAGATGTGATTTATGTTATAGTTTTTTATTGTAGTAAAAAAATTAAATGTGATTATTTTTAAAAGCTTTTTACTGTAGTAAAACTTAGATTCTAAACACAAATCGGTTAAATGAACGGAGCCTAAATTCATCTGGCTAATTAACATTGACGCAAGTGTTTGACCAAACAGTTGACCATTTTGTGCCAAGTGACCTGGCAAAAGTGTGATGGGTGGATGAACCTTCAGCTTGATGATGAGTGTGTTGGGCCTTGGGCTTCAAGAATCAGGACTTGATTTTTGATGTTCTGTGGAAGAAACTGATTTGGGCTTTGATTGAGCGTTGGAACCTCCTTCAACTTGGGCCTAGACATGTACTTTTCTACATGAAATTTGAAACTTTGACCAAACATTGTTTTGTTATGTCAAAGTAGAATATCAAAAACAGTGCTTCAAAAAAAAGATACAAAAAGAATATCAATAAGAGGAAGAAAAATGAAAGGAAACGTGGAAAAGATTTACATATTGTAGAGATAGGCAAAGGAAACGAGAATAGATTTACATACACTAATAATTTCTTATTATCAAGAGTTTTTCTGTCCAATGTAAAAATAGTTGAGGAGCTTTTGTAGTCTCTCTCTTGTTTGCCTCAACATATTCTCTTCTTGAACTTCTGTAGTTAGATAATTGAATATAATGAAGTCTTAATGTCAATCCAGATTTTAAATTCATTTTATAAACTATAAACGTTGAATCAACAAGCAAGCCCGTCTAGCTCAGTCGGTAGAGCGCAAGGCTCTTAACCTTGTGGTCGTGGGTTCGAGCCCCACGGTGGGCGTTTAATTCTTTTCATCCATATTTGTTCATTTTTCTTTTTTCAAGATTTCGTCAAGGCGCGGCTTTTCGAGGCTTACTTACGCTTTCCTTTTCTCTCTGCTTTTTTTTTTTTTTTTTTTTTCCTATTTTTCTATTTTTTAAATTATTTTTGGGCTACTTTTAGAGAAAGTGGCTGGAAAAGTCGAAGTTATATTCTCTTGTGAAACCAACCTTCTAGTGATATCAAATCCTACTTTGCTGCGGTAGCAAATGATTAAAGCAAGGATTTGTGTTTGAGCATGTATCTTAAGATATTAGTTTGTGGGCTTTGCATACCAATTCCCGAGGTAAGAGAAAGAAACATATATTCGCGTTCACTTTATGAATTTAAATTTTCAATTATAACTGATACGTGATATTTTTTAAAAAATTTTTATTATAGTAAAAAAAGTTATATGGGATATTTTCTAATAGCGTTTTACTGTAGAAACTTAAAACTGAAAACCGAACGAGGCCTTGAGTATCATTCATTTCACCGATTTGAGTTTAGAATTTTAATTTTACTAAAAAAATTTAAAAAATAATTACATCTAACTTTTTTATTATAATAAAAAATTCTCATATAAAATCACATTTTAACTCGAATTATACATGCCCTAAATAGTCTTAATATTACTATTCTAACATCATGCAAATAGTATGCAAGTACAATCATGTCATGTCATAAAATATCTTGGGACCATGCTATCTTGAGAAAAATATCGTAACATGATTTGAGTAGGCAAGCTTTGATTGTGTTATAGGTTACCTTATAATAAAATATGGTACAATTTTAAATGATCTTATAATTATTATTTAATCTGAAATTCTATTGGCATGAATTATCATATAACGAATATGTAAATTATCGTTGATCAGTGTTAAATATCATTGTTCTTTTATTTTTATATTTTGAGTTAGACAAATTTTAACTTATTGTATGTTATTCATGGTAAATAAAGTTTAAATCGTCATAAATTTAATTAGGACTTACCATAGTAATACCACGCGTAT